TTTTTTTTTTTTTTTTCCTTTACCTTGCTCTTGCTTTCCATTTGTGTCCCATATTTAACCAATAATCTTTTAGTAAGTACAATAAATGGAAAGCTATGTGGGGGGGGGATTTGTTGCTTTAATATAAACTTTCTACTTATATCACTTGCATTGGGTTATACTGGTGAGAGTTTTATAGAAGATGGTAGTTGGAAGTATTCAGTGACCCTCATTACCCTTGCTAATTTTAAAGTCATAATTCTTTTAACACACCAGGGGAATCTGAATAAGATTGTTGGATTGAATCAGTGTCTGTACCCTGGTTGTGATATTGTACTCTTACAAGATGTTACCATTGGAGGAAACTGGGTTAAGGCTGCATATGATCTCTGTAGTGTTTATTATTAATATAACTGCATGTAAATCTCAATTATATTTATAAAACTGTCAGTGAAATCATTGTTACTGCAAAGACTTGTATTCCCTATGTCATTTAGATCTGTTTTACAAAAGATGATTTCATGCTTCGTATGATATGGTACTTAAAAATGCAAACTTTGACCCTGACATATCTGGACTCGAATCCTGGCTCCACCACTTTTTAACTGACGATATTACTTAACCTCTCATAGCTTTGTCTTTCTCATTAAATGAATATGAATAATAATAGTAAGTACCTTTTAGGGTTTTGAGGATTAAATGAGATAGGACATTTAATTCACTTTTCTAGTGCTTGACATATAGAAAACACTAAAAAATATTAGCTACTGTGGTTATTATTATTGTCATCATCATTGTCATCACTATTATTACTTATGTAATTAGAGCTAAAAGAGAAACTTTTCATCATCTTCTCTCAGTTGAGATTCTATAACTAGCTACTGGATATTCTGACTTCTCTTTAATAAAGAGCACTTTGAATTTTCACATCATCATTTTACTTAAAATAAGTTAAGGACAATTTTATCATTTGAAACTAAATGATCATTGTTAATGAATATATTGTAATAAAATACTGGAATTAATGATAGTAGATATTCAGATCAAGTGCATTCTGGGTAAAGATAAGAGAAAGGAAGGAAGAACTTGATATAAAATTGAACAACATTCATAGAAACCAAACTCCAACAACATACCTCTGAAACACAAAATTATTTTCAGCTGGAGACCTTCAGGTTTTCTCTGCTTAAACAGTATGTGAAAGTGATTTCTCCCTTTTGTATTACTGAAGTCCATCTGGTGTAGTGGAAAAAGCACTGCACAGGGTGATAAGCAGTTCTGGACTCTAGATCCAGCTCTGTCACAGGCTTTGTAACCTTAGGCTCGTATCTTTTACCTTCTCTAGCCACCTGTTTCCCTATGTGTAAATTCTGAGCGTTGGGTTAGATTAGTGATTCTCAAAGCATGGTCCTTGGACCAGCAGCACCAACTTCACCTGGGAACTTGTTAGAAATGTACACTCCCAGGCCCCCACCTCAGATTTACTGTTTCAAAGACTCCGAGGGTGGGGCCAAGCAATCTGTGTTTTAACAAGTCCTTTGGATGTTCTGATGCCTACTGAAGTTTGAGAATTATTGCTCTAGATTAAGCTTTAGTCTAAAATGTAAATTGCTGTACCCGATCCCAAAGTTTCTGATTCGGTAGGTATGGGGTGGAATCCAAGAATTTGCTTCTTTAAAAAGTTCCCAGATGTTGTGATGCTGCTGCTCAGGTGCCGCATTTGAGAACTACTAGGGTAGATTATCTCTAAGCTCTATTTCAACTCTATGTTTCTATCATTACTCTTGCTTTCACAATGTCTTCTGTCCTCCTGATTTACTTTGTCTCTCAACTTACTGAAACAGCCTCTCGGCTAATGGTTAGCATTTAAAGCTTCTAACATATCTTACCTCGTAGAGTGTGATGGACAGAAAGAAACTTCCCTAAATTCTTACAACTTATGTTAATATAAAACACCTACATCTCTTTGGCATTAAAAATGACCCTAAACAGTTTGGTTAGTTATCTCATGCACATGGACAGTTACGGAAGAGATAACTTCAGACACTGTGATTAAAGAATGAAGATCTGGTTCCTCATTGCAATTGACCTCCTCATGTTCTCAAAATCTGAAGAGCTTGGGTGGCCAATGTAAAAACAAAATTATGTTTTCATTCAAAGATGATGTTTAATGAATAACACTAAAGACCTCAAATTACATTTTCAAATGATCCTTGTAATCGCACCTCTTCTCTTTCATGGTCTTCTAGATACTTGGGATGGGTTGATGCTCTGTGAGGGATGTTGTCTGCTAAGAACACGACAAGCCTCTGCCGGCCAAACTGAATTATTTAATTGGCTCATGTTTTCTTTCTTAAAGTAGAGTTATGGGTAAGATTAATTACTTCTTGTTTTATCAGTAATTTGATAATTTTCTGGTCCTTAGTATGTAAACTATATAAGAAAAGAGCAAAGATCTAACATATAGTATGACATTACACTACTATTATGTCAGGCACTGTGCCACAAGCTTTACTTTTATTGTCTATTATTAAATAACCATGTAAGGTAGTATAATTAGTTTCAGTTTTAACATGAGGAAATAGACTCAGAAAGGTTAAGTAACTGTACAAGATCACGCAGCCAAGAAAATAACAGTATATAGATTTGAGCTCAGATTTGTTTGCCAACAAAGCCTTTGTAGGCACCTGGTAAGTTTTCAATACATGCAAGTTGAATGAATGAATTAAAGGAATGGTTATAATCATACTGTCTTATTAATGTTGACTTTTAAACAATCATAGAATTATAAAGTTGGAAAGACTCTAAAGATTATTATCTAATCAAGTTTTTAGTTATGTATCTACTTTAAAACATCTCTAACATGTGGAGGTATACAGCCTTTTCTTGACTATCTCTAGGGAAAGGGAATACATACTACCTCTTTAATCAGAGTGATTGTGGAATAACTTATTAGAAAATTCTTCTTTGCATTAAACTTCCCTAAATTTTTTTCTTTTTGAGCTTAGTTCTGTCCTCTGTAACCACTCAGTCTTAATTAATCTTTCTTCCATATATCACTTTCAAATATTTGAAGATAACCTTATATCTTTTCTCTCCCGAGCTAGATATTCTGATTTCTTCAACTACTTCTCAAGATCCCTCACAGATAATAGCAACATAATAAATGTTTGTTAAATGAAAAAAAAGAATAAATAAATGTGACACTCAGATTTCCTCCTTCACTTTCTGGTCCCCTTCTTTAGAGTGTGAGCCATCTGTGCTGTGTTCTAGGTGCTGGGGCCATATTTCTAGAGGAAAATGAAATGATTTTCTTTGATGTGCTCTTGTAGTGAACAATTGTCACCCACAAAAAATACCGTGTTTTAATTTTCTGGCATAGAACAGTACCACGTCTCTGACATTTCAGGTTTGCATCAGGTCACAACAGCTGGCGTTGAGCAGCAAACGCAGTGCTTTTCTTCAGGGTCAAAGGCAAGACCTGGACACTAGGGGATCAGCTCCAATTTAAGCAGGCTAAGTTTATACTCTAATGTTCAAAACTTGGGCTTACCTCAGCTAAAATGGAAGAAATAGCTGCTCAAAGCTAGTTTCTTTCACGCCCCACTGGCAAGGTAGTAATTGCACAAAGACCTTTTTATTATAAGTTGATTTTCCTGAGAAACGAATTCAGAAAAATACTGTAAAGTGTTTATTTTTTGCTTGCCCTTTATTAACCCACATCTTAGGGCTTTCCCTAGAGAAAATCTGTTGGTAAATGAAACCTCTTAGACCCACACAGAAGCATTTTTGCACTGTATCCCTGGCTATGGAGGGAACAGGGACAGGACAAGGCAAGTTGGTGCTATTTAAACGGGGTCATTAGCCAGTACATGGAATTTTGCCTAAAGAGAATATTTAGGAATTTAAACAGGGGAAGGGTTTGGGTTTGGTAGAATTACTGGCAAAGGTTTGTATCTTAAATAGGATATAATACAACTCTTTTATACTGGTAAAAAGGTTGAAGACCCTGTTTGAACTTAAAGATCCTTTCTTTTGGAGCATCTTATGTTGATCTTTAAATAAGAAAAGTCCTATATTCAACCTATAAAACTGTGCCCTGAAAGCCAGGACAAAACCTTCCTGTCATGCTATTCTAGAATCAGGAAAGCATGCATAAAGAAGGGAGCTAGGAAATTAAAATGTAATTTTCACAAGCATCATTCTGTCATGGCTCTTACTTTCTTCATATGGAATACAAATACTGATATAGAGTAAAGATTTTTCTATTTTGCATTTTTGTGCTCTTTGATACATTTATTGAGGTCAAATGAAATTTGATATAGTAGGATTTATTATGAAATGCTCTCTGAATACAACTCCATAATTACTGAGCTACATGGTAGTGCATAAAGCTGTAAAACTGCTTAGCCAGACAAGCAATTTATATGTTACATCAAGGTGTGTATGGCAAAGAATATTAGTTTAATTGGGAGCCAAGATGTAGTAGCCTTAAATCTGAAGAGCTATATGTTTAACATAATACAGTGAGGCTTTGAAATAAGATACCTAAACTGGGGAGATACAGCTTTTAGAATATATAACAATTAGACATTATTTTCTGTCTAAGGATATTAAATACTATTTTAAAAATAAAGCACAGAATGCAAAGCAGGTGAAAGGGCAAAACCTCTCAACATTGTACAGTGTAAGAAAAGAGGCAAACTCATTTCTTCTAGTTCTTTGTTTGAAAGAAAGAAAATGAAAGGGAAAAAGTCAAGAGAAAATAAACCAGTTAACTACAGTTTGGTGGAAGCAGGGATGAAGCAAATTCACAATGAAATTATGTCCTTGGTATGCTAATGGCATCTAATAAAAGTGAGTTGGTGGATTTTGCCTGAATTTTCTCAGATTGCAGATTTGGAATGAGGTTAGAGGTGAGTGGCTGTGTGGGTACCAGCACACCACCAGGAGTGAAAAACAAATACTTCTTGGCATACATTTGCTCTCTGTCTGATCATAGGCTCTCTTCTGTTTAGCAGGTTCAGGGTCACATGCCTCCGCTCATGATCCCAATTTTTCCACATGACCAGCGGACCCTGGCAGCAGCTGCTGCTGCCCAACAGGGATTCCTCTTCCCCCCTGGAATAACATACAAACCAGGTAAGTAGAGAGGGATTTACATTCTTTTAGAAATGCTCATATCCACATGTTTTGCTTAGTATTCACAATAAACACAGGAACATACAAGGGAACCATGAATAAAAAGATCATAAAAGCTTATTTTAAAGTATTAATAAAATTAGAATTGTGAAGAACTGGCATTGTAATAAACTAATTGATTGCTAAAAACTTTTACATTCTCTTCTTCCACTTGAGTTTGTTCTGAATTCACAGATGAAATATTGCTTTCCCTGGGGACTACAACATTTTTGTCAGCTCTTTCTCATACCTTTACTGTGAATAATTGTTTTTGGTTAAATATCCTTTCTCCTTCCTGAGAGCTTTTATACTCTGGGAAAGTGATCACATATAGTAAAAAATGTTGTTATTGTGTGTTGTGAGATTTTTCTTGGAAAAAGTTAAAACTTGGCTGATTTAATTAGCTTACTGCTAATAGGTAAAATTCTTTTTGATTTTAGTCCAAATAATGAAGCATTCAGTAATATTTTTTCATTCATCTTTGAACCTCAAAAAACAGGTCATGTAACCTTGCAGTAAAATATGTTTTGAGATGATTTTGCAAATGTTATGATTTTTCTTTATTCCTCTGAGTTTACTGGACTCCTGGGGAATTCAATTAGGGGCATAATGGTTTGAAGCTTCTTTCAGAGCCTCCTTGTAAACAGGGCTTTAAATGTTTAAAGATATGTTGCCAAAGGAATCCAATGTAAGAAGATAGTCAAGTAAATAAAAGTCAACCTTAATTTCATTTGTGCATTCTTTGTAAGTGACCTCAGCTCAGAAGTAGTGACCTTGTTCTACTCATTAATAATTTCTGTGTCAAGTTCTTTTTAACATATTAACCTGATTATATTAACCATCAAATCTGAGTACAACAAATCTGAGTGCAGCAGTTTCTTTGTGTATGTGGTTTATAAAGTGAACAAAGGCATTTTAATATGCTTAAAGCAATAATAAAATATAAATCACTTTACAAAAATTCTGAGTAAAGAAGATTACTAAATAGCATAAAAACAAACCTGGTACGTTTTAACATCTATTTTAATTGCTTGTTGCCATTGATTACTCTTTTGCATTTGGTAGAGAACTCCCTTTCTTGTAAGAAAAGATAGGATGTCTGTAGCAAAACTCAAATGATTCAAGAAGTAGAGATATTAAGGGATTGGCTAACTTAAGGACTGACTGACAATTCTTCAGATATAAATGAGTCAAACAAGTATTACCAAAAGGTTTTTGGATACCTGATTGAAACATAATTGTGCCATTCAAATTGTTAAAAATTTATTTTTCTAGAGCGGAATTTTTACAGCAAGTTATACCTCCTATGAAATTGGCATCTATATTAAGAACAATAGTATATTTTGTCAGAGAATGTTTTTGTTAGTGTTGTGGTTCAGTCCTTTTCTGATCTCTGTAAATCGTTCTGAATTATTTCTTCATCTTGACTTCCTTTGGAACATTGATGTAAACTAAATTTACGGTTCTCTTTTGAATTCGAGTTGCCACTCCTGTACCAGTCCTAAAAACATTTTAAATGAACTATATATGGAAACTCTCTATTTGATTAAAGTTAAAATTTTCCACATTTCAAGATCAGGTATGAGCCTTATTTTCTGTTAGACATAGCCATCTTGTAACTATGTTACTTACCTAATTTTCTTAAAATAATTGAGTTTTTCATGGGGGAAAATATTGTTATATAGACTATGAACTTAGACCATTTTTTAGAAGTCTCAAACAGCATCAATGAGATTGTAACATGTACCTAAGAAAAATATAGAGACTGAGACAATATTGTGCAGGAGTTAGTTACTTCCATTAAACAAAGTGCAGCTTAGAATAGTGTCCTGGAGTAGCAAAGCTGTATTTGATTATGTGGGCCAAACCCTCTTGAGTAAGGCAGGACAATAGGTTTGGAGATGTAGGAAGATTTTTAATCACAAGCAAGGCTGGTACAAAGGTGTTTATTTTCTAGTGACTCCTAACTATGTCAGAGAATTTCATTAATCAGAATTTTAAATCCTTTAATATTTTGGCTAATCTAGGCTTTATTATATAAAAAATTATGTTTCAAATGGATTAAAATTATATGTTGTTATGCAATTAGTAGAGAAATTACATGCCCAGAGGACTTAATCTACCTAGTGTTTTTGTCATTCTCACGCATTAGGGAAGAAGACTGCTATTGGAGTGGAGTCTGCACAAGCAAAACTTTTTTGCCCCAAACTGAGCTATAGTAACTTCATTTGAGATATACGTGAGACAATGACTACATTTTTAGAAGAGGGTAACTTTGTCACATGTAAAAGCCTTGAAATGGTGATATAATTTATGTTCTGGTCACTTAAGCAAGAGAATGAACAAGAGCTACCTTGATCTTAATAAATTAAAAAATAAATTGCTCTATTCTTTTCCCTTTCTACTTTTCCATAACCTAAAATAATTCCATAGTGTTTGTGCCTCCAGCTGATTGAATAATTGTCTTGATTTCCAGAGAGCAAGGACCGCCTTGGGGTGACATCCACTGTTTGTTAAAGTCGGCTGTTTCTGAACCCGTATTAGGACAGGGTAAACAAATGTATTTATGGGCCTTCACTCCCCACCAGGTGTTTGACCCATAGCTTTGGGCATTTCAGGGTCCCAGCATGTAGTAAACACCAAGCAAGCTCTGCCATCTTGGTGGGATGCTGAAGAGGCATGTTGTCTGTCCACAGGGATTGCACAGATCCAGGGAAGTATCCTTCAGATTGATCTTTCTAGAAATAGCTTTATTGAGCCTTAAGCCCTATTTTTTTTCCATTCTTTTACCAGTTCTATAATTAGAGACATCTCTCTAGAAAGATGCCAAATTGTATATCAGATCAAGATCAGCTTGCGTGAAAAATAAAACCAATTAATATCCTCCTTCGTGCTCTGGGGATGATGCAGCTGACCCATTACTTTGTGTAGTTGGGATTTTTAAAATGCTTGCTGCTGAGCAGCACCCTTGAAGGTTTCCTGGGAGATCCTCAGAGGCAGATGTCTGCCTGCTCCTGGATCCTCCATTAATTTACTAGTTATAATACAATAATAGCTAAAGCTTACTGAATGATTTCTGTGCCAAATACTGTGCTAAATATTTCACATGGATTATTTTATTTCATTCCTACTTGAACATGTCATTTAACCTCACTGAACCTCACTTTTTTGTTATCTAAAAAATGCGTCATGGTTTATCCACTACTCAATGTGGGTATGAAAATCAAGTTTGGTAAAACATATGAAAGTTCTTTGAGAATTATAAAGCATTAGGGTTGGGGGTAAAGAATGACCATGAATCTGAGTAAATTTAACTAGCCCATTAAATTATATCCTTACCCTTTAGAAATGTGGTCCTAAAGTTGAGCATTAGACTGAGTATCCCTCTGCTCAATGACCAAAAGCAATTTTACAAGTATACCTAATGCTTCTTTTTTTATTGCAGTAAAATATATATAACATAATATTATTTTAACTATTTGTAATTATACAACTCAGTGACATTAATATATTTTTAGTATCATATAAACAACACCATTATCTATATGAAAAGTTTTTTCATCATCTTCAGCAAAAACTCTGTAGCCATTAAATAATTACTCTTTCTATCCTGTAGCCTCTGGTAACCTCTATTGTACTATCTTTTTCTATGAATTTACCTATTGTAGGTACTTCATATAAATGGAATCATACAACATTCATCCTTCTGTGTCTGGCTTACTTCAGTTAGTATGATGTTTTTAAGGTCCGTAGATATTATAGCATATATCAAAATTTAATTACTTTTTATGGCAAAATAATATTCCATTGTGTGTGTGTGTGTGTGTGTGTGTGTGTGTGTCTGTGTGTATGCACCATATTTTGTTTATTTGTTTATCTGTTGATGGAAACTTAGGTTGTTTCTACTTTTTGGCTATTGTGAATAATACTTTAATGAAAATTAATGTACAAATGTCTGTTTGAGTCCCTGCTTTCAATTCTTTTGGATATGTGCCTAGGAGTTGAAGTGATGGGTCATATGGTAGTTGTATGTTTAACCTTTTGAAAAACTACCAAACTGGTTTTCACAGCAGCTATACTATTTCTTTCCCCACCAGCAATGTAAGAGGTTTGCAGTGTCTCCATGTCCTCCCCAACATTTGTTATTTTCCATTAAAAAAATATTATATTCAACCTAGTAGATGTGAAGTGGTATCTCATTGTGGTTTTGATTTGCATTTCCCTAATGATTTATGATGTTGAACATCTTTTCATGTGCTTATTGGTCATTGTATATGTTCTTTGGAGAAATATCTATTTAAGTATTTGCTGATTTTTGAATTGGGTTATTTGGTTTTCTTCATTGTTGAATTTCAGTTTTTTACATATTATAGATTTTAATACCTTTTCAGGTATATGATTTGCAAATATTTTCTCCCATTCTTCATGTTGTCTTTTAGCTTTCTTGATAGTATCTTTTAATTCACGAAAGTTCTTAATTTTGATGAAGTCAGTTTATCAATTTTTTTCTTTTTTTGCCTGTGCTTTTATTGTCATATCAAAGAAATAATTGCCAAATCCAATGTTGTAATGATTTGTCCTTATATTTTCTTCTGGGTGGCTTATAGTTTTAGCTCCTAAGTTTTATGTCTTTGATATATTTCAGTTAACTTTTATATATAGTGTAAGGTAAAACCTTATACAAAATTTTTAAAAAATGAATATCCATATCTTTTGCATGTTGATATCCAGTTTTCCCAGCACCATTTGTTGATAAGACTATGCTTTTCCCATTGAATGGTTTTTGCATCCTTGTTGAAAATCAATTGACCATATATATAAAGGTTTATTTGGGGGCTGTCTATTCTATTTTGTTAATCTGTATATCTGTCCTTATGCCAGTACTACCTTGTTTTAATTGCTATAATTTCATAATAAATTTTTAAGTGGGGAAGTGTAAGTCTTCCAACTTTATTCTTCGT